TTCTTTCTTTCTTTCTTTCTTTCTTTCTTTCTTTCTTTCTTTCTTTCTTTCTTTCTTTCTTTCTTTCTGGTGGCCAAAGCTATGGGTTCTTTCTTTCTTTCTTTCTTTCTTCCTTTCTTTCTTTTTCCTTTATTCTTTCTTTTACATGTTTTACTCTTCCTTCCTCCCTGTTGCCATTCCTTCCATTTATTCTCCCTCTTTCTCTCTTTCTTGCTTTTCTGCCCCTTCATTCCTTTCTTCCTTTCTTCCTTCCTTCCTTTTTCTGTCTCTCTCCTTCCTTTTTCTTTCTTATTTTCTCATTTCTTTCCTTCCTTTTATTTCCCCTTGCCCTTCTCTCTCCCTTCCTCTCCCTCCTTCTCCTTTTCTTGCCCTCCATCCTCTTCCTTCCTCCCTCCTTCCCTTCTCTTCTCCATTATTCTTTTCTCTCTCTCTCTCCCCCACCCCACCCCATTTTTTCTGGTACTCTTGAGGTTTCTGCCTCCCATTTCTTTCCAAGCACGGCTTGTCCTTCCCGTAATAGAATCACCACAAGGGCTCACCAGAACCAGCCTGCCTGTGGTTGCCACTGCCCCATTCAGAATGCCAGTCTAACCCAGGAGGTGATTTATATTCTATCCTGCTATGCAAACACCTTGGGAACTGGGGTAGCCAAGATGCAGATGGTAAATGTGGGCTTCCCATGTGGAGCAGATGTTGTCAAGCGAGAGAGAGTGGGGGAGGGAGAGAGAGAGAGAATAAGAGAAAGAAAGAAAAAGAGGAGAAAAAGAAAGAAAAAGGGGAAGAAAGGAGGAAAGAAGAGGGAGGGAAGGACAGAAGAAAAAGGAAGTGGAAGGAAAGGAGGGAAGAAGGAGGAGGGAAGAAAGGAAGGAAGAGAGGGGGGAGGGAGGGAGAGAGAAAATAAGAAAGAAAAACAGGAGAAAAAGAAAGAAAAGGGGAAGAAAGGAGGAAAGAAGAGGGAGGGAGGGAAGGACAGAAGAAAAAGGAAGGGGAAGGAAAGGAGGGAAGAAGGAGGAGGGAAGAAAGGAAGGAAGGAAGAGAGAGAGGGTGGGAGAGAAGAAAGAAATACAGAAGAAAAAGAAAGGAAGGGGAAGGAAGGAAAAGAGAGAGGAGGGAGGGAAGGAAGGAAGGAGGAAGGGATGGGAGATAGGAAGAGAGGAATAATTGGGAAAAGGAGGAAGGAAGGACTCCCGGAATTTATGGCATAATATCAGCTTTGATAAAGGCAGACAAACAGTTCTCTGTTCTATATGTGTCAAGGAGAGAAATACATCCCAGGAAGAAAAAGGAAGCATTGTTAAAGTTGCACAATTGTGTTGAACGTTTCTGTATATGTACAGTTGCCCCTGATTTTGCCACAGTCGTTAAGTGAATCACCTGCCTTTAAGCGAATCCAGCTCCCCCCCCCTTTGACTACGGTTGTCGGAAGCTGCTAGGAAGTTCCGCAAAAGGGGATCAAGTGACCCCCTCCCCCCCCCCAAGAACATTGCGACCGTCATTAATAGGAGCCAGTTGCCAATTGCCCCAGTTTTGATCACGTGATCCTGGGGGGGGGGGTGCTGCTGCAATGGTCGTAAGTGTGAAAAACGGTCATAGATCGCTTTGAATGGCTGCCGAATGTGTGGTTGCGTTTCAAAGACCACCTGAATGTGCAGAAGATGGCTTCCCCCTCCCACAAGACCCTCTTCTGTGCGGGGACCTGGCCTCCCACCGCTCTTCTTCAGCCCCCTTGTTTCTCTCTTGCAGAGGGGTTTTGTGCCCCCGAGTGGGACGGGGTCATTTGCTGGCCGGAAGGGTCCCCGGGGAAGGTGGTCTCCATACGCTGCCCAGATTACATCCATGACTTCTACCATGAGGGTGAGTATCTCTGTCTCTCTGTGTGTCTCCTTCCCTCCCTCNCTCTCCTTACCTCTTTCTTCTTCCCCTACCTCTCCTCCACATCTCACCTTATTTTCTCTTTCTTTTCTCCCTCCCTTCCTTCTCTACTTCCTTCCCTCCTCCTCTCCTTCCCCTTCTTCCAGTGCCGTTGTAACTTTCAACGGCCACTAATTGAAATGTTATAAGTCGAGGGCTAACCGTGCCATTTTATATAACGATCTCCTTTGATATAAAAAGCAGATCTGGCTCCAGGAGGAAAAGGGATGCAAAATTTTAAAGCCTGGGCAAAGGATGAATCCGTTGTGTTTATTTTCTGCCTTTTGGCCAGCGTGAAAAGAAGAAAATTGGACAGGAATGGGAGTTTAACAATAATTAAAATCCTGCATTTATTGCATGGATGCTAGCAGAGTCTTTAAAAAAAAGCAAAAAACGGGGATGAAACGGATTTTGAGGGAGGGACACGAAAGAGACCTAAATTTTCTCTAAAGCAGGGAGTCCTCGATTTATGACCGCAGTAGGGAGCTGAATTTTTGTTGCTAAACAAGGCCTCTGTTCAGTGACTTGCACTCAGTTTTATGACCTTCCTGTTGTTAAGTGAGTCCCACCAGATTTTACGGTTATTAAGGGAATCGCTGCAGTTATTAAGTGAATTGCATGGCCATTAAGCGAATCCAACTTCCCAGAAGGTCACAAATGACGGTCACGTAACCCCGAAAAGCTGCAACTGTTGTAACTACTTGCAAGTTGCCAAGTGGCAAAGTTTTGGTCATATCCTGCGACCGTCGTAGGTTTGAGGATTGGCCATAGGTTTTTAAATTGTTATGACGGTCGCTAAATGGATGGTTTTAAGTTGAGGACTACCTGTGAAGCTCAAGATCCAGGTTGTCCTCAACTTAAGACCATTCTTCTAGTGAGCGCTCTCACACAAGGAATCCATCTCGCCTTTCATCAGGGAACGCATAGGTCATCCTCAAGTTACGGCCATAATGGAGCCTGCCCATCACGGTCATAAATCATAAAGCGGACTGGTCATGTGACCAGTTTTACAACCCTTTTTTTGTGATGGTCGTTAAGTAAACACAGTGGTCATTAAGGGAACTCATGGTTTCCTCTAGTTCAGCTGGTTTTGCTGAAAACCAGAAATAAATGTGGGATTTTGGTGAAACACAACCGTGTGTTGTGTTTTGAGTTGTAAAACACAACCGTGTGACACCGAGGTAATCCTCGATTTATTACCGCAATTCGACCCAAATATATTCTGTTATTAAGTGAGAGAGAGAGAGCTGTTAAGTCAATTTTGGCCCGTTTTACGACTTTTCTTCCCACAGCTGTTAAGTGAATCACTGCGGCTGTTAAGTGATTAACAGTGGCATTAAGTGAATCCGGCTTTCCCTTTAGCTCGTCAGAAAGTCACAAAAGGGGATCACGTGACTCCAGGACACTGTGACCGTCATAAATACAAGTCAGTTGCCAAGCATCACCGGGGATACTGCAGTGCTTCTAAGTTTGAAAAATGGTCATGTTTTCATTTCCTTTGCAACTTCGAACGGTCACTAAATGAATTGTTGTAAGTCGAGGATTATTTGTACCTACAAATCAGTGGTGGGTTTCAAAAAATGTTAGAACCTCTTCTGTAGGTGTGGCCTGCTTTGTGGGAGTGGCTTCCCGGCCATGTGACCGAGTGGGAGTGGCTTGCCGGCCATGTGACTGGGTGGGCGTGGCCAACTTGTAAAATGTGGTGAAACTCACTTAACAACGCTCTTGCTTAGCAACCAAAATGTTGGCTCAGAAACTCTGGCATTTGAAACTCTGGCATTTGAAA